GAATGGATTAAAACTCGTCAAGTCCCGGGAAAAAAGAATGCAAATGGCTCGGTCCGGTTACGATTTCTATATCGGTCAAAAAACGAAAGAATGGATTAAAAACTCGTCGAGTCCCGGGAAAAAAGATAGCAGTTGCCTCGGTCCGGTTACGAGCTCATGATTGGTCTAAAAAAGAAAGAATGGATTAAAACTCGTCAAGTCCCGAAAAAAAAGAATGCGAATGCCTCCTTCTGGTTAGCAGTTCATGATCGGTAAAAAAAGAAAGAATTGATTAAAACTCATCAAATCCCGGGAAAAAAAATGCAAATGGCTCGGTCCGGTTACGAGCTCATGATCGGTCAAAAACGAAAGAATGGATTCAAACTTGTCAAGTCCCGGGAAAAAAGAATGCAAATGCCTCGGTCCGGTAACGAGCTCTATATCGATAAAAAAACGAAAGAATGGATTAAAAACTCGTCAAGTCCCGGGAAAAAAGATAGCAATTGCCTCGGTCCGGTTACGAGTTTATGATCGGTCAAAAAAAAGAAAAAATAGATTAAAACTCGTCAAGTCCCGGGAAAAAAAGAATGCAAATGCCTCAGTCCGGTTACGAGCTCTTGATCGGTCAAAAACGAATGAATGGATTAAACCTCTTCAATTCCCGGGAAAAAAGAATGCAAATGCCTCGGTCCAGTTACGAGCTCATGATCGGTCAAAAACGAAAGAATAGATTAAAACTCGTTAAGTCCCGGGAAAAAAGAATGCTAATGCCTCGGTCCGGTTACGATCTCTATATCGGTCAAAAAATGAAAAAATGGATTAAAAACTCGTCAAGTCCCGGGAAATATGATAGCAATTGCCTCGGTCCGGTTACGAGCTCATGATCGGTCAAAAAAGAAAGAATGGATTAAAACTCGTCAAGTCCCGGGAAAAAAAAATGTAAATGCCTCAATCCGGTTACAATCTCATGATCGGTTTAAAAACGAAAAAAGAGATTAAAACTCGTCAAGTCCCGGGAAAAAAGAATGCAAATGCTTCGATCCGGTTAAGAGCTCGTTATCGGTCAAAAAAACGAAAGAATGGATTAAAACTTGTCAAATCCCGGGAAAAAAGAATGCAAATGCCTATGTCCGGTTACGAGCTCATGATCGGTCAAAAGCAAAAGAATGGATTAAAACTCGTCAAGTCTCGGGAAAAAAGTGCAAATACCTCGGTCTGGTTACGAGCGAATGATCGGTCAAAAAAAAAGAATGGATTAAAACTTGTCAAGTGTCGGGAAAAAAGAATGCAAATGCCTCGGTCTGGTTACGAACTCATGATCGGTCAAAAAACGAAAGAATGGATTAAAACTGGTCAAGCCCCAGGTAAAAAAAATGCAAATGTCTCGGTCCGGTTACGAGCTCATGATCGGTCAAAAAGAAAGGATGGATTAGAACTCGTCAAGTCCTAGGAAAACAATGCAAATGCCTCTGTCCGGTTACGAGCTCATGATCGGTCAAAAAAAAGAATGGATTAAAACTCTTCAAGTCCCGGGGAAAAAAGAATGCAAATGCCTCGGTCCGATTACGAGCTCACGATCGGTCAAAAAAAGAAATAATGAATTAAAATTCGTCAAGTCCCGGGAAAAAAATGCAAATGTCTCGGTCCGATTACGAGCTAATAATCGGTCAAAAAAGAAAGAATGGATTAAAACTTGTCAAGTCCCGGAAAAAAAAAGAATGCAAATGGCTCGGTCCGGTTACGAACTCATGATCGGTTAAAAAATGAAAGAATGAATTAAAACTCATCAAATCCCGGGGAAAAAAATGCAAATGCCTCGGTCTGGTTACAAGCTCATGATCAGTCAAAAAAAGAAAAAATGTATTAAAACTCGTCAAGTCCCAGGAAAAAGAATGCAAATGCCTCGGTCCGGTTACGAGCTCATGATCAGTAAAAAAAAAAGAATTGATTAAAACTCGTCAAGTCCCAGGGAAAAAGAATGCAAATGCCTCGGTCCGTTTACGAGCTCATGATCGGTAAAAAAAAAAGAATGGATTAAAATTCCTCAAGTCCCGGAGAAAAAAAAATGTAAATGTCTCGGTCCGGTTACGAGCTCTTGATTGGTCAAAAAATAAAGAATGGATTAAAACTCGTCAAGTCCCCGGGAAAAAAGAATGCAAATGCCTCGATCCGGTTACGAGCTCATGATCGGTAAAAAAAAGTAAGAATGGATTAAAACTCGTCAAGTCCCGGGGAAAAAAGGCAAATGCCGACCACCGTGGTCGTGGATTGGTTTATCGTGGTATGCATGAATCAAATCAGAACGTCGACCACCGTGGATTAGTTTATCTACAGCTATTTGGATCGAAATCGCCACCGGAAACGCTTTTGCCAGCCATTCTATTTCAAAATAAAGATATGTTAAAAGCAATCACAAAGAAGTAATATAGCTAACTAAATGCATACATACTAAGTCTTGTTTTACACAAACTTCAATCTCATGTTTTCGACCCAAATAGTCGCAGATAAACCAATCCATTGTGGTCGGCGTCCTGATTTGATTCTTGCATGCCACGATTTCGATGATATGGCCTTCGTTGAGAAAGACCAGAGGGAGAGAAACGCGAGAAGGAAGAAGAAAGATGTCTACCGTTCCTATGTTTTGTTTTGTTTTTTTTAATAGGAAGCAATGAGAATATGACACGTATGGGGTTATTATCAATTATTGAAGCTTTCGTTTGCGAGCCAGTTCTACTTTATTTTCATTTTTTTGGGCTTCTAGGTTTAGAAGCTCTCTTTAGAGCTCCTAATGGAGGTGGTCTTAGTTCCAAAGAAGTGTGGCTCCGTGCAAGTGCACATGTTGTAGTCCCCTAGAACCAGGCATGTTTATATACTATGTAACCATCGTAAATGATTTTTCATATAGAACATATATGGGTTTAAACCTTCAAGGTGGCACACACTTAGGGCTGGTGCAGGGCCAAGTCAAATAAAATTTTCGCCTATGGCCTCCATTTTTTTTTAGTTTTTCAACATTTCTATTTTGCAAAAAGGTCCCTAAATTTTGAAAATATCACCATTTGACTCTCATTTTTAACAATCTATCTAAAAAATCCACAAATATTTATTTTTTGGTTTTATGCCCCAAAATCTCAGGACGGCCCCTGACCAGCCCTAATCAAAACTATAAAGATCCGGTTTATTTACTTGTAAACATTTGACATTTTTTGGTTATTAATATTGATGACGTAATGAAGACACATGATCAATCAAAGTAGGCTAACCTTTTTAACGGCGTCACAAACATCTGTTAGCGGTTCTGGAACCATCTTCTTCTGTCCGTCATCTCATCTTCTCTTTCTTTCTCGAATAAAATTTATCTTTTCAGGGGCAAAGGAAAAGGAACTCTCTAGAAGAACCTTTTTTCATCCCAAGCCCAAACCTTATATATATATTCGCATTCCCCATTCCAGTCTCCTCCCAAACTGTATCTATACCTCTATCTCTCGCGATTCGTTCTTCTTCACGCTTTTTGTTCTTGAATCGAGATGGATGAAGATTTTGAGATGCCTCCCGTCGGTGGGATGAACGAAGACGACGACATGGATTTCGGTGACGCTTCCTCGTTTCTCAAGGTCGGTGAGGAGAAAGAGATCCAGCAAGGTTTGAAGAAGAAGCTTCTCAAGGAAGGTGAAGGATACGAGACTCCTGAAAACGGCGATGAAGTTGAAGGTATATTCTCGACCTGCTCAATTTATTGATTTCCGTTTTGATTTTTACTTTAGTTGAAATTGATTGATCTCTTGTGCAGTGCACTACACTGGGACTTTGCTTGATGGGACCAAGTTTGATTCCAGCCGCGATAGAGGCACGCCTTTCAAATTCACTCTCGGACAAGGTGAGTGAGCTAAATCTATTGATTATACTTTGATCTTGACGCGATTGTTGAGCTTGATTTAGCTACCTAGTACCAGCGATTACGTATCTTGGATTTGTGATTATAGTTACTTTCAGTGTGTTACTGGGTTTCATAGTGTGTATCAGTAGTAATCTGAGTATTCGGCAGACAAATTTGGCAAGATACAGTATTAACTTGACAACGAGCTCTCTCAATTATTGAGCTGAGATCCCACTATTATTAAGTTTCAAATCGAGTTCTACTGCCCCAAATCAGAGAGCTTTATGAATAATTGAGTTGAGATGCCATTGTTGTTTAGTTTCCAAATACATTACTAATCCTCTACGTTGAGAACTCTGTGAACTACTGAGTTGATGCCATTGTTGCCTTATTCTTTTTGGTATTTTCAGGTCAAGTTATTAAAGGATGGGATATCGGTATTAAGACAATGAAGAAAGGAGAAAACGCTGTTTTAACTATCCCGTCAGAGCTGGCATATGGGGAATCTGGTTCACCCCCAACAATCCCTGCGAAAGCCACCCTTCAGTTTGACGTGGAGTTGCTTTCATGGTCTAGTGTCAAGGACATATGCAAAGATGGTGGTGTGTTCAAGAAAATCCTTGCTGTGGGCGAGAAGTGGGAAAACCCAAAAGATCTCGATGAAGTTCTTGGTGTGTGTCTACTCTCTCATGATCGTACATTAGACTGTTGTGTGGTTCAATTTCTCTAACAGTGTCTCCTGCCTATTTGTTTTCAGTTAAGTACGAGGCTAGACTTGAGGATGGTACGGTTGTTGGGAGATCTGATGGTGTGGAGTTCACTGTTAAAGACGGTAATTTTTCTGATTTCTTATGCGAAATGAAGGGAATGTCAAAAATATATTCTGTCTCTGACAGTCTTTGTGATCTATGTCATGAATAGGTCATTTCTGCCCTGCACTTGCTAAGGCTGTGAAAACCATGAAGAAGGCAGAAAAGGTCCTTCTGACTGTAAAACCCCAATGTAAGACACTTTGCTTTAATTGTGTTTTCACTAATCCTGGTATGGTGTGCACATCATCTCTTATTCCAATTTGCTTGTAAATGAGACAGATGGTTTTGGGGAGAAGGGCAAGCCAGCCTCTGGTGGTGAAGGTGCTGTTCCTCCAAATGCGACGCTTGATATCAACCTGGAGTTAGTTTCTTGGAAAACAGTTTCAGAAGTAACTGATGATAACAAGGTTATCAAGAAAATCTTGAAGGAAGGGGAAGGATATGAACGTCCTAATGAGGGGGCGGTTGTGAAGGGTTAGTATTTCGAACTTTAGTACAGTCATGTCTATTCATCACAGTTTCTCACTAGTCTTTTATTTGTTTTTTTCTTTTCTGGCAGTGAAATTAATAGGAAAACTTCAAGATGGTACTGTATTCCTGAAGAAAGGCCATGGTGACAACGAGGAACCCTTTGAGTTCAAAACAGATGAAGGTAATTAGGTGTCTACAAATCTCCTTGAAACTTTCTGTTGGATGCTCTGGATTTTATCGTTGCAACTCATTTTGCTGTTTTCTTTAACAGAGCAAGTGGTCGATGGACTTGATAGAGCTGTGATGAAGATGAAGAAAGGTGAAGTGGCATTGGTGACCATAGAACCAGAGTATGCTTTTGGTTCAACCGAGTCACAACAGGAATTAGCTGTGGTGCCACCAAACTCAACCATCTATTACGAGGTTGACCTTGTTACTTTCGACAAGGTTAGTGAAGTTTGGGATTCTTATGCCTTTTACAATTCAGCCAATGAAATATAGGAGTTCAACATTCGTTTGTTTGACATTGTGTTTTTAGGAAAGGGAATCGTGGGACATGAACACCGAGGAGAAGTTAGAAGCTGCTAGTAAGAAGAAGGAAGAAGGAAATTCCAAGTTTAAAGCAGGCAAATATGCCCTGGCTTCAAAGAGATACGAAAAGGTATAAAATGTGAAGTGCTTGTTGATATGTGATTTTTTGTGTTCAACATCACTCACATGGTTTAGTTTCTTCTCAGGCTGTCAAATTCATTGAATATGACACATCATTCAGTGAGGAGGAGAAGAAGCAAGCAAAAGCCTTAAAGGTGGCGTGCAATCTAAACGATGCAGCCTGCAAACTGAAGTTGAAAGATTACAAGCAGGCTGAAAAACTCTGTACAAAGGTAACTAATTTGTGGTCAAGTCTATGCATCCTTTCTCAGTTTTAAAGCATAGCCAAAACAAAATTGATGGAAATGATGCATTCTGTTTTTTAGGTGTTAGAACTTGAAAGCACCAATGTGAAGGCCTTATACAGGAGAGCACAAGCGTACATGGAGTTAGCTGATTTGGACTTGGCTGAGTTTGATGTCAAGAAGGCCCTTGAAATTGATCCCAACAACAGGTTTGTTTGATATCTTTTAACCCAGAGCAGGATATTTTTTTGCAATGTATTCTTCATATAAAACAGTTATATGGGGCCTTGGATTTATTTGCTATTTCATTTGTCCAAATGATAGGGAAGTGAAGCTGGAGCAGAGACGGTTGAAGGAGAAAATGAAGGAATTCAACAAAAAGGAGGCCAAATTTTACGGGAACATGTTTGCGAAACTAACTGTAAGTATATCTATCTCTAACTCAAAGTATTGGATCTTACATATAAGAGTATTAACCAAATCTGTACTGGTGGGAACGTGCAGAAGGAAGCTTCAAAGGACGGAGAGCCCATGAGCACCTGAGTCTTGAAACTGTTGAAGAAGAATGCATCTCTTTGGGTTTGTTTCAATGTTTTTTAGATGTTTTAACCTCAGCGTTAGCGAGATTCATAAAAAGAAAAGAAAAATGAGACTTTTATGCCAACATTGGATTTCGAATAGAGATCAATCGCATGTGTTGTTTCTCTTCTGGTGTTGTAAGCTCTGAGATATTTTGCATCTTTAGCGACTTTATGGTTGAACATGGAAGTATGAAAGCGAAAAAAGAACTTTTAAAATTTGTTTGTGTTCTTGATATCAAAGTTTGTTGAGTTACTTTCTTTTTGAATCGTTTTCGCTATATCTTGGTGTAATTTTGGGAATTTGAATGTTAAGCAGCAGAATATGCTTCTGTTCGTATATAGAATGAAATATGAGCGATGATGGTTAGAGAAAGAAGCCTGTATATTGTCTGAGATCTAAGATGACTGATTTATGATTGGATTGGTCTACCGCTAGACGATTCCACTTACATCATAAGATCTTGTGTATGATCGACTATTGGGACTAGATAGATTCCACCGATTAACGAGGATCTTTGAGATGTTACTTTTTGAATCGAACTTACAGACAGGTCCAACTTTTCTCAAGATATTAAATACTTTGGTTTTAAGCGGGTGGCAATTTAGGCACAAAGATATCATTTTATTTAGAATGTTTAATTTTTGGTTATCAAAATTTATATATGCCATCAGGCACAGTTTTAAGAATTATGAAGTACGATGCGAAAAAAAAAAAAAACGGAGCCCTATTGAAAATATAAAGCATAATGTTTAAGATAAAAAAAAAAAAACCACAAATTTTTGGTGAAAAAATCACCTAATTAATGGAAGCTGATGCTAAAGAGAGTGCATTTTGTTTCGGAGTTGAGAGAGAGAAATCTAGTAGATCCAGTGCTTTGGAGTTGAGTGGAAAAAAACTAGTAGATCCAGTGCTTTGACAGCTTCACCTACATTATGGTGAAAAAAAATCAGCAAAATCAACGGAATCGCAGATGATTTTTTATGGAGCAAATTGGAAAAAAAATTCGAAAGTTTAGATATTTTGAGGAGGAGAATTAGAGAAACGAAATAAGGAAAATAATCAATTGAGAAACCTCATTGAGGTAGGAAATGGTGAAACAAAAAAAATTATGGTGTGCAAAAAAAAAAAATGGACCCTTACTAAAAAAATTTGAGGTCCAACACCACCAGCATTTCTTTGGCGTTTGCTTAAAGTTGCACTTACTAAAGATACTGTGAGGAATGTCAAAATACCATTTTTCGCAACAATATTCTTTGATTTCTTTCATCTTTTTGCATACCGCTTCCAAGATACTGTTGCAAGAAGAAATCAAAGAATATCACCAACATAACTTTTATAACCAGTAAAATAGCAAGTCATATTTGAGCTTCCATTCTCCAACCGAAAATGATGGTTATTCCATATGGCCCATGCCTTTGCATCATAAGTGTTGTTATAGCAACTGTTAGTAAAATCACTGAGCCCAATCCTATGCATCCTAGAGAGCACAAATACATACATATTAGCATCCTTTGTTAATCCAAATTTTATGTTTAATTAGATGACTCTCCTTGTTATACGCGGATTAATATTTTTTTATAACTAAATAAACTATAAAAATATTATTTCACAGTTAACAATTGCTAATAATGTTAAATTTCTATTTTTGGTTCCCTTTTCGTCTTCAGGATTTTTGTTCGATTTTTAAAGTTTTGTTTTAAACAATAGTATCTAGAATCAAATATATAGGGATTGTGGTTATTTTTGTTATTTTGTTTCGATTTTAATTTTCTTGAGTATTTCTAATACATATTTGTTTACTATATATACAATAACAATTATAAAGAGAAATTTTAAGAAATGCCACTTTTCAAGTGTTTTTTTTCAAAAATGCCACATTTTCAATTTTTTTTGCAAAAATGCTACTTTTTCAAAATTATTTTTTCATTATATCATTTATGTTTGGGATAACTATGTTGTATTAGAGTTTAGTTTTGAGGATTTAAGAGATTTTAGGAGTCAAAACATTTT